AAAGGATCAACCTTGATAAAAATTAATTAAAAGATAGAATTTTATCTATGATGTTACTCCAAACAAATGAAAGGATTGAAAAGTGAGATAAACAAATGAAAACATTAATTTGTTAGCGGAAGGAATAGCAGACATTCTTTCCTTATAATTTAATTTCTATGTAGAATTTATATTAGCAAAACATTTTAATAATGTAAAAAATACATTCAGGCCCAGCCAGTGTGGCTCAGGGGCTGAATATTGACCCATAAACCAGGAGGTTACAGTTCAATTTCTAATCAGGACACATGCCTGGGTAGAGGGCTCCATCCCCAATAGGGGGTTTGCAGGAAGCAATCGATCAATATTCATTCTCATCATTGATATTTCTGACTCTTTTCTCTCTCTCCCTCTCCTCTCTCTGAAATCAATAAAAACATATTTAAAAAAATACATTTGCTGTCTTTGATCTTGTTTTATTCCCCTGCAGTAAATCATTCCTAATTTCTTTATTCCAAATGCCCATTTAAAAAAAATAGTAGGATCAGGTTATTATTTACAAGCTACCTGTTTGTTAATGACATTATGTTAAGGCCTCCTGCAGAAATCCCAGAAGGAGAATGTTCATGATGATGATTGTAGCAGCTAATATTTATCAAGCTCTTCTTCTGTGGCAGGCATCATGCTAAGCACTTTATACACATATCTCATTTAATCTTTACAATAACCCTCTGAGGTAAGTACCATTATCTCATTTTTATTAGTGAAAAAACTGAAGCACAGGTAGGTTACCTAAGTCCCACAGGGCTAACACTCAAGCAACTTTGCTCCAGACCCATGCTCCTAATCACTGCTACACTGCCTCTCAATAAAAAATTGTGGGCCAACATTATCTACCCATAGTGGTGAAGATTAAAAGGAAGAAATAAAAGGCTGTATTCACCCTGTGCATTAGTGGCCACTACCAAGTGCGAGGTAAAGAGAAGTAAACTCTGAAGTCCCAGGCTGAGCTTTTTTTTTAAAATCCTCACCTGAGAATATTTTTTCCATTGATTTTCAGAGAGAGCGGAGAGGGGGAAGGGGAAGAGAGGAGAGAGAAACAAGGATGTGAGAGAGACACATGGATTGGTTGCCTCCCACATGTGCACCAGGTACTTGCCCTTGATGGGAATCAAACACGAGACCCTTCAGTGTGCAGGCTGACGTTGTAAATACTGAACCATGGTGGCCAGGGCCAGGCAGAGCTTTGGTTCTCAGCTGTGCACTCACGAGGGTCAGCAGTGTGATCCTGGGCCCAATACCTAGCCTCTCTAACACATGTGATGGTAGGCCTGGCAAGTTACTGTGAGCTCTGAATGAAGTTATACATGCTAATACCCCTGGCATAGTGCCTGAACAAAACTAGACTACATATCAGTATCCCTTGCACCTTCCCACACCATAATCCATGTGGTCTAGCCCTTTCATGTATCTAGTAAGTTACTCACTCTCCTGATAACCCTGTAGGTGAAAGTCACCTCCTTTTATAGACGAAAACACATGCTCACAGCAATGGAGTAACAGACAAGGGCTGTAGAGCTGGTGAGGGGAGCCCAGGTCTCACTCTAAGCCAAATGTCCTCTCCCCTGAACTGCATCACCTCTCACTTCGCCTATGTAGCTCTTTAACGTTAGTCTCTAGGCTAGCATAGAAGGGAAATGAGAAGTCCAGCATAATGACAAAGGAACCTGTTAACTTTGCTGGGTCTACTGCCAGCAGTGACAGCAGCCCTGACTGCCTAAATGCCTATACTGCATAAGAGCATACACAGAACATACCTTTGTACACTTTGGAAGAGTGGCCCAGCTGAAAGCAGCTTTTGGAAATCAGTAAGGGTTAAACTAAACAGCTCTTGAACCACAAGTCAAAACCAGAGGTGCTCACACCAAGAAATAATTTAGAATGCCATACACATTCTGTCTGAAACATTGTGTGCTAACGGTCTATCTTTGTGGGCTTTCTTCTGAGCTGGTAGCCAAGGGAAACCTTGGATAAAGCCTACCCAGGGAACTGCAATTACTTACGGTTTCTCTAGGACCAACTTCTGTGGGAACTCAATGTCATCAGGTTTTGAGGTACCAATCCAGGCAGCCAATTTTTCACTGCTGTTCAAGCAGAGTTAACCATTCACTCATAATTCACTCATCCCTGTGGTTTTTTATTCCAGATATTTATCAAGCTCCCACATCCTGTGTTGTAGCACTGGGCTAGGAACAGAATAGGCTCCTCTCTGTCTATGAGAGAGTCACTGAGAGCTAAACCAAACTGGGCTTTGGATAGACAGTTATATTCTGTAAAGTGTTATGAGCCCACTTTAAGATGGCTCACCTAACCAGCCCTTCTATTGTGGAAATGAGGAAAGCCAGGTGTAGGCAGCCTAAAATGCCCACGGTTGCAGAAACTTTAAGTGATGAAGAGGGATGTAAACCCGGGTCCTCTGAGATCAAGTTTGTGGCTTTAACTCTCGCAACACTGGCAGAGAGAGAGAAATCTGAGGGGTATAGTTTCTTTTCTTATTTTTTCTAATCCTCGTATTTATTTTGAGAGAGAGAGAGAAACAATCGGTTACCTACCAAATGTGCCCCCATGGGGAACTGAACCCAAATCTGGGCATGTGCTCTGACTGGAATTGAACCTGCAACCTTTTGGTGTACAGCAAGCATGTCAAACTCACAGCCAGCAGGCAGCATGCCACAAGTTTGACATGCTTGGTGTACAGGATGACTCTCCAATCAAGTGAGCCACCAGGCCAGGCTAGCTTCTTTCTTTTTAAAGGGCTCAGTCAATGATGCAGGGGAGCAGTTTGTCACAGAAGTGCACTGATGGTGAGCCAGTTCTATGCAGAGTTAAGTGGGAGGAGGAAGAGCATGGAGATAGGAGACAAACCTGGCCAATAAGCATCTCTTCCCAGCTCTCTCTGGAATCATTCTGTGCCCCTGCTCCCTACTCTCAGTAGCTTCCCACTTAGCAATTAATGTCAAAGTCAGTCAGTCCAGCTCTCATGCCAGCCAGAGAGAATCCCTCCCTCCTTAGCTTCTTTTCTCACTTTCAACCACATACTTTATCCTGCCCAACCAAGGGCTGTGGCTCAGCCCCTTTCCACCACATGGGATGCTCAACAACTCTAGGAGGCTTCTACTTACCCCTCAGGGCTACTGCACTGTCTTCTCTGCCAGAAAGAACACCCCAGCTGGAAGTAATTTTTCCTTTCCCTGGAATTTTGTACATGCACTGGTTGTACAAAGAGCACTTGCTTCAGGCCACCTTATATCATAATTTCCATCTTCAAGCCTTTTCCCTCTTGGAATACTCAAGTCCGTTGGACATTAGGATTTCTTTATAGTTTCAGTTCCCAGCAATAGTACCTTGTACTTTGTAGGCACCTGACAAATGGCCATCAAAATATGAACTTGGAATCTTCCATGGTAGAATAGTTCTATACCAAATCTATGGGAAGGATCTGATGAGCATTTATCTTCTGCTTTGCCCAATAGTGGGAGTCACAAGGACATATATTTCCTCTGCTAAACTAACTCACAGTCCATCCTCTTTTGGTAAATTCTCTACAAAAATTAGATAAGGAGAAATATCTTTAGAATTGTTTCACATACTTTCACTCAGACACTGAGCAGGGAGGGAGCTGAAGAAACCAGAGAGAAAGTGGAGGAAAGAGGGGGAACACTTTGAGCAAAGAAACTGTGGAGGCGGGCACTGTGTTTTGCTGTTTCTTCCTTTTAAAAAATATATATATTTTTTATCGACTTCAGAGAGTAAGAGAAAAACAGAAACATCAATTATGCGAATCACTGATCTGCTGCCTCCTGCACGCCCCACACTAGGGACCCAGCCCCCAACACGGGCATGGAATGGTGACCTCCTGGTTCATAGGTCCCCGCTCAACCACTAAGCAACACCCGCCAGGCTGCGGTTTCTTCCCCACCCCCGACCCGAACCCCTTAAGTTTGTCGTCCACAACGGGGCTACTACCCCAAGGGTAGGTGTGTCACCTCCTGTGGGCACACGTGGCTACTATTCGACAGTTGTAAAACGGAGATCCCAGGCCCAGGCCCGAGTGGTGGTGGTGATTGTGATGCAGGGCGCTGGAGAGGCGGTGTCTTAATCATCTGCATATTCTCGGGGTTTAGCCCTGCTGGGGAGGTGGCACCAAGTTGCCCGAGTCCGTCGGCCGCCCTTAGACGCTCTCTGCACAGCTGTTCCTTGAAGGTTACAGGCCGCGTCTCAACCCGAGGCTCTGACCCCTGGGCCCCGGAGGTCGCCCAGGCTGGTGCGCAGCGTTGTCCATCCAGAGTGTTTCCCCTTCCCGGGCCCCGCGCGGGAGCGGGCTAATATCCGCTGGGGCCTCCACCCATCTGGCTGCTGCGGGCTTGCCGGGTTCCTCTGGAGAGGTAGCCTTAGGGTCAAATTATCTTCCAGGGCTCTACATGCGCGGCCACTCGGGACTAGCAGAGGGTCTGCAGGGTGCACGGCGCGGGGGCGGGGGAGGGCAGTCCCTCCCTCCTGCCCTTTCTAACCAGCTCCGCTCTATCTCTCGGGCGGGCGGCAAGCCTCGATCTCTTTCCCCAAACCTTGGAGCCCAGCAGAGGTGTCCCTCCCGCCTCCCGCCTCACTCCTCACGTCCAGGACGTCAGTCAGGTGGTGCAACATACACCACGCGATCTCTTTTCCCTGCAAACTCCCTCTTCTCCCGGGTCCAAACCTCAACTCCCAACGCTTCGAGTGTCCTCCCTGGTGAGCCAGCTCCTTGTGCCCAAGCCGCGAACCCCCTCGGAGATCCCAACACATACTTCCTGCAGGCCCCGCGCCAGCTTCGAGCCAGGCAGCCTAGCCGTCCATCCGCGCTCCCGCCCGCAGCATCCTGGCGCCTCCCGCGCCTCCAGGGGGCGGCGGGGTCTCACCTGCTGGGAGCAAACTGG